CCCCCAAAACCCCAAAACCCCAAAACCCCTTTTGAGATAGAAATATTGAAACTTTAAATGCTTACTTAAAAATATTGAAAAATAGTATGCTGGAATAAGCCACGTTGTTTATAATAGCCAGAACATTTTAGCGTAGTCTTCAAAACTGAACTCAGTGATGAGCAAAGAAAACGAGATCAATCTTGTGATACATTACAAGGATGACCGTAAAGAACAAAAGGTCAAGATTTCTAAGGACTTTACAGAAACTAAGAAGAATATACTCAATGTGTTTGGTATCAATGATAAAGAAACCAATAATTACTGCCTGAAGATTCCGTCTGGAGGTCTGATAGAGGAAAGCAATGTCATCTTTGATAACGACAAGCTGTGAATCATTCCTTCTGGAATGGAATGTGAGCCTACTGGATGCACTCCAATGGATGAATATGAGCTCAAGATCAAGCAAGAAACTATGAAAGATATGAACATTGACCCAAAGAATAGCGAGGCTTTCAGGAAGTTCCAGTATACCAAGATTACAAAATCTGATTATGATATCCTTGGATGCCTTCTTCTCACAAAGCAATATACTGAATACCACTCTTTAAGCGATTTGATCAACAAGAAATGGGCACAACCATTAGGGTTTCAGATGAAAATGGTGAGGCCACCCAAGACCAACAAGGATGGCACTAAAACCATCAGACTTTATTGCCTTCGTTTTAGTAGAGCCGGGAACAAAAAGAACCAACTGAAGAATCCTGAAACTGGAGAAGAAGAGGAAAATTGCAAGTTTGGTATTACTTTCAAGCAAGACAATGAAACTAAGATCTGGCTTCTTTACCAAGAATTCGAACAATCTAACTTCATTCATAACCATAAGTGTAACGACAGACCAAAGAACTTGGAGCTCAATCTCAATGAATACGATGTTGCTGAAACTTGTAAGAACTACAAAAGAAGGATTAAATCATTGATCAGACTTCAACGTCTCATCGACCAAAAGAGTGACCTTGTTGTAAAGCAAAAGTTCTACATCGATGAGAAATCTAAGAGAGAAAAGAAGATTAAAGTCAAGAAGGAAATGCCAAGAATCAAAAAGGAAAAACCTGACAGTGAGAGAAAGAACCGCGGAGAGTCTCATAGAAGTGCACAGAGAGCATCAAGGAATATCTCTGCTCAACAAGAGATTAACCTCCTTGTAGAGTGCCTCCAACAAAAAGGTGAAAGCATCTCATCCATGATAGAGCTTGATGAAGATGTTAATGAAAGTGGAAGAAAGAAAACCAACAAACTGTTCTATTCAAACGAGGAAATGAGAGCACAGTACATGAAGTTCAGAGACTTTATCTATATTCATAGAAGGATGAATGAGACGAGATTTGGGAAATACCTTTCATTGATCTGTGGAGTGGATAACCATGGCTTCAATACCATATTTGGATTCTCGCTAACATCAAAGGATGATATTCCTTCAAACGAATGGATCTTTTCAAACTTCAGCAAGTTCATGGGAGATTCCAAGCCAAGAGTAGTCATTATAGAAAGGAACAAGAATCTCCAGAAAGCTCTTACCTCAGTTTTCCCAGCTAGCGAGACTAAAGTAGTTTACTGTCCTCACTACATTCATAAATCACTGAAATTCGAGTTTGATGGTGATCTGAGGTCCAACAATGAAACACTTTATGATAAAATTGTAAACATTCCAGTAATCGAATCTCAATCTGAATTTGAATCACGACTTGCTGAGGTTAAAAACTATGCTTTGATGACTAACAACGACCGTCACAGGAACCTAATCCTGAAGCTAGAGTCTGAAAAAGACCTATGGGCTGCTTGTTTTCAAAAACACCTGTTCCTTGGTGGTGTTGTGATCTGAGACAGAATAGCTAAAATCAAGAGTTACCTCAAGGTTTTCTTCGCCAAATCCTCTCGCCAGCCTATCAATGAGAGCTTCAGTAAACTCCTAGAGATCAACTCCAAGAGTGATTTGAAGGGAACGATAGAGTCAAGGACAATTTCCTTTAAACATAACCAGATCTTCATGAATTTCAAGTTTATCCGTACATTAACGAACCAGAACGCAGTCAGCGAGTACGTCAAGGAGAGGGTCAAGTGGTTTGCCAGTAAAAGCTTCAAGTATGAAATTTCTCAGGCTGACGAGAAGGCTAAAGTCTTTCTAGTATCTAAGAAGAAAGAACTCGAGGTCAGAGGAAGATCACGGACTTATGGAGATCATTCCAAAGTAGTAGTAATCGATAACTGCTTGTTCTGTACCTGTCTGGATCAATTTAATACTGGTATTCCTTGTGCTCATGAGTTCTGTGTTCATATGAAAAATCCAGACTATAACGTCAGGCTAAACAAAAGATGGTACAGAGGATTTTCTGAGAAAGACTACACTCCTGATGAATTAAACAAATATATGACGAAGCAGGCAGACTTGAGAAAGAAGTTAATCCAGTACATGAAAAGTATCAAGTCGAACATAAAGATCACTCAGACTGATTTCTCCTTCAAGAACACTGACATGAGCCTGGGCGGCATCAGCAATATGGAAAAGATAGTAGAAGATGCAGATAGCTCCTTAATTGTCATCAAGGTAAAGCAAGAGGCTGAAGCACCAGACCTCTCAGAAACAGACCTTAAGAAGCTCCTTGAAGGAATTGACCCTGAAAACATTGACCTGGAAGAACTTGAAAAGCTGATCACTCATGGTGATGAAGAAGAGGACGATGAGAATTATGATCTTGGCAAAGAGTTCAATAGAAAAGTATCCTCTAAAAAGCTTAAGCAGATGGAGAACAAGAAGAAAAGAGAAGAACTCAGAGAGAAGCTCAAGCAAGAAAAGATGAAGAAAAGAGAAGCCAAGCTTGCTAGGAAAACAAAGCCAAGTAAGAAAGAAGATAGCTCTTCCGATGAGGAAGAGGTAGAGGAGAAAAAGATTGAGAAAAAGAGTCTGAAAGATCTCATGAAGTCAATGAATACATCAAGTAAGCTTAACTTTACCGAACTCTTGCTTGAGATGAGAAAGAAGGTTGAGGAAGAAAAGAAAATCAAAGAAGAAGCTAAATCAGCAAAGAAGGCAAGACCTGCAAAGGGGAAAAGTGTGAACAACAAGAGGAAGAAGAAGCAAGATTCTTCCGATAGTGATGATTCTCCTCCAAAGCATCAAAAGAAAAGAAAGAAGAAGGATGAGAGCGATTCTGATAGCTCATATCACTAATTTTTCAATAATTTCACTAAATTTTTTCAATATCTTTCTTCATCGACGGGGTTTTGGGGTTTTGGGGTTTTGGGGTTTTGGGG